ATTAGAAAATTATGAAAAATTTCTTCATATTCAATTAGAATTATTACCATCCAATGATCTATTATTATCGAGAACCTATACAACAATCGCTTTATTTTATCGTGAAATAGATAATCGTCATAAAACATTAGAATATTGTGAAAAGGCACAACAAATTTTATTAGAATCATCAGATAATAATACAGTAATAGAAGCATCATATCGAATTCTTGGATCAATTTATAATGAAAATTGTCAATATGATAAAGCCATAGAAAGTTATGAAAAACAATTAGAAATTCAAATAAAATCATTACCTATAAATTATCATTCATTAATCGATACATATAAGTCTATCGGATTGGTTTACGATAGGATAAATGATTATAATAATGCGATAAAAATTTATGAAAAAATTCTTAATATTCAATTGCAATTTTTACCAACGAATGAACGATCGTTGAAATCAACATACGAACTTCTGGGATGGTTTTCGTTTAAGAACAATGAAAATGATAAAGCTCTCGAATATTATCAAAATTTACTTTATTTTCAATTACAAACCTTACCTGGAGATGATCTAGCATTAGCAACGACATATAGTCGTATTGCATTGATATATCGAGATCAAGATGAATATGAGAAAGCATTAGAAAATTATCAATATGAACTTGATATTCAATTAAAAAGATTACCATCAATTCATCCATTAATAGCAGAGACATATACTAATATGGCAGATATTTATAGTATAAAAGAGGAAAAAGATAAAGAATTGGAAGTTTATGAAAAAATACTTGAAAGTCAAAGAAGATCATTACCAAGCGATCATCCAACGCTAGAACTTACATATACACATATTGCAACAATTTATTATACAAAAAATGAATACGATAAAGCATTAAACATCTATAAGGAGATACTTGAAATTAAACGGCAGTTATTATCCTCCAATGATTCATCATTAGCACTAATATATAGCAATATTGCATCCATTTATAGCGATAAAGGTGAATATGATTTAGCTTTTGAAAACTATGAAAAAACACTGGATATTCAATTGAAAGTATTACCATCAAATGATTTATCATTAGCAGATGCATATGTCAGTATGGGATCTTGTTTTCATCAGAAAGATGATCATGATAAAGCATTAGAATATTTTCAAAAAGCATTGGACATTCAATTAAAATCATTACCGGCCGATCATCTTTCACTTAATCTAACATATATGTTTTTATCATCTACTTACCGTGACAAGTCAGAAATAGATGAAAAAAAAGTCCAATTCGATTAAAATGATTTTAGTAAAACAATAAAGAATAAATCTTTGAAAGTGGCATAGATTGAAAAATAACTTATATGAAGAATAATAAATGCGGAAACCTCGGATTTGAATCCGAGCGTTATGTGTACTTCAAAAAGCCATTGTTCACTAAGAGATCTCCAGGGATTTTCAATCGCTTTTCGAACATCGAGTTGTAGGTTTCATAGGAACCAGTGAGTGACTAGAAATTTTTGATATTGCTGATTGTCATGGCTTTCTGAAAAATGTTTCTCAATGAGATTTACTCATGTACTAGTTCTCGACATTTTTCCCTCGAGTAAAAATCCACCATTCACTGAAATTTTGCCCATGAACTTCTCTATACGCTGTGAACATCGCGACAAAGTTATAACGCGATCAGTTCATTGAAACTTGGTAATCGTTTCTGAGGGTAAGGGGGAAGGATTACCCATGAAGACAGTCGTATTCTAGTCTAGGAATTCCTCGAATCCAATGCGCTGTCACTAAGAGGGCATCTTTGATGATTTTTCGAAGCTGATGATAGGGACGGATACTATTTCAGATCTTTAATCTCGAGATTATCAATCGTAAGACGAGCACCAAAGAAAAAGACTAGCAACGTGAATCGGTGTTTAATGCACTTGTCCTCAGACTACCAGTTGAATTCAATGTTTCAAAGAGAGTTTTTTTAATTAAAAGTTGTTAGCGAAAATCCCTGCGAGATTGAAATTTAAAACACGAGTCTCCTGTTATCAAGCTGAATGACAGTTGTTCAACCATCTTCGGAATACAAAAAACTAACGAGTTCGGAATTGATTACAGACACAACGGATCTCTGTGAGAATTGAAGAAATGTGACTACAAGTAACAGAACGAACCATTATATGACTAATGTTAGTTTCTGATTGCTCATTCATGAAAAAGCATACTGATTTGATAATGAAGCAGCTTTTGATCAATCCCTCTATTACAATCAGTTTTTTTGTGGATCTTTCATGCATACCGTCTGCATAGAACTAAACCTTAGATCATTTTCATAAGCATCTTCAGTACCCGATCAGAATGCGATCGGAAACTGAACATCAGCTGTTTCCATCCAAATCTGTCACGCTCTGTTAC